TTCATAGGTGATGTCGAGACTTATAACCGAGAAATGTGAGTTTTTTGTGGGTATATCGATCAGTTTCGTGGCCAAAAAAGATGCATGGAAGGCCTCCTGGTACCATAATTTCAAAACTCGCTAAGTGAACGTAAGTACTTACGCTCTATTTTCTTGTCTATGATTGGTGGATTTTGCTTGAAAGGCCGTCAATGATTGGCTGATGAACTTACGATCTCTTAACTTTTTTTGAAAGCATAGGCCCAGGTATATCCGGTATGGTTTCTTACTCCCTCAAAGCTGTCACGTGTGACATCAGGTCCTCTACACTGTGTGAGATCACTAGAGGACTCTACAATGCTGTAGAGTCTACGAAATTCCTGACATGAGGACAGAGGAACAGATAGAGGGATTTGAGAAACTCTAGTTAAAAATGATGGCGGTAAAATCGTGACAGCGGGGCAGAAAGGACAGAAAATGCTCGGATCAATGGAAAATGAGGGAAGCTTCCACGAGCGACAGTGCAATCCATCGATAGTCTCAAGTCATGATCCTTGAGAAACGCTCGCAAAATTACCCATCGATAAAAAACTCAGGGCTTTAACGTCGGCGATCTTTTTGTTTGTCCATTAGGCACATCGTAAAGGCAAGGAAGTTTGCTTTACAGCCGGCAAAGCGCTAAAAATTTCTTGGCGTTAAAAATATTTACCGCTCCATTTAGCAAGACAGTTTGGGCCCACGCGGCTCTCATATCGAAAAAGTTTTCACACAATATTTTTTAAGCATGATGAAAATCAAAATTACAATAAGAATGTGTATTTTTCCCCATTATTACATTGTGTGATTCTCTTTTGTTCCGTTTAGTTCGTTACAGTAATTGATTAAAACCTAAACTTGAAATTGTCCGTCAATGCAGCTAAATATTGCTCTGCAAAAACTGTCTTTATTTGTATTATATGTTTCGCACTTTTCATTTTCTTGTATCAATTCAGGTACCAGAATTTTCGTGGAAATAGATTTAACGAGCAGCGATAACGAGCGGAGTAGTTAGTTTACGGTATCAAAGGTCAGCCTATACTAACCTATAAATGTATCGGCTCGTATAATGCTATTACTCGTGTTCTGAGTCGAGTACTTATACTAGACACTCGAATACCAATACCAGTTGTATAGAAATTTGAATTGGAGGCAGACTGTGTTTTGGTTTCAATTCTGCCTCTGTGTGCGTTTAAATGTCTGAGGCTTAGATACAATTAATTAAGTCACGTGGACGCCAAGCTTCGGCTGGAGCTCATGCGGCGTCACGAGTTTCTAGGGACTAAGCCCTTTAAAATTAATAATGATAATAATAATGATAATAAATAAAATAACAATAATAATAATAATAATAATAATAATAAGCTGATTCTTAACATCGCAATACATTCACAGCTTGTTGCGGTCTCGAACCCGCACCTCTCTGCTCCAATCCTAGTACTCTGAACTGTAACCACTGAGTCACCTTGATTGGTCGAATTCAAGTTAATAATTACTGTTTGCATGATTATTCATTTATTCAAGCTACGTTATATTGAATTTGTGGGTATTTTTTATATGAATAATTTCAATAATTTAACATAAAATTATTAAGAGGGGCTGAAGCCCCTAAATAGGCTGAGTGACGCTGTAAATAGGCCACTGCTGTAGCTTCAGCTTGCGGGCGACGTAGCGCCAGGGGTAGACGATGGAGGATGGAAGTGAGCTGTGACGGTCATTAGGGATATCGCGCCCCAGTCGGGGACCATGGGGGGGGGGACTGATGGGAGTCTCTTGTGGTCGATGTGAGCCAGATTCGCTTTTTCTCCAACATACTTTTTCCGAAATTTTCCCTCCGACACTTTCCGAGCAAAATAGTGAACCTTACTAGTGAAATTTATTGTGGGACTTAAATATATTACTTTGCTATCTATAATTTTTTGAATGAAACGAATAATCAACCGAAAATAAATTTCATATATACACGTTTTTCGTACGAAATGACTTATTAGAATGAAATAAAGTATCGGTACACAATCTATGATGGGATTAACATTTATCTCCATCCAAGATAAAGAATTCATCATTGTAACGGAGAGTCAGGAATACAACGCAACATTCGTCACATAACGAAGAAAGAGGTGCGCATGACACCATTATTTCCTACGTTGTAAAAATTAAAGCAAACTCCATTAATTTCAATAGGAAGAAGCTTGTGAAAGAATTTTAGCGTGAAAAAATAAAGCAAAATTTAAGGATTGGAGACGCGTAATGCAAAATCTACAAATGAAGTAGCGACTATAAAATGTAAAATACACCTCATAATGAAGCATATTTATGGAACGTGTGAAGCATTTATTTCAGACCATGCGCCGGCATTTCGTTAGAGTGAATAATGGCGCTGGAGCTTTGAGTCGCTCGAGGCAAGTCTCGTGCACTAACAAGGAGTGCGGCCCAAACAAGCCTTCCAGAACTCACTAAATCTCGGCAGCGCCTTCCCCCAGGGAGCAAGTGAATGAGAATTTCTGCGCGCACATTCACCGACCCACATACGAATGAGGATTTGTACTTTAAAATTTCTTTCTGGTCGTCGTCGTGATATTTATGTATATAGTTGGGAGCAGAGATTGGGCAAGGATTGGCCAAGGGACCGATGAAGCGCACTCACTCATGTTTCAGCAGTTGTGGAAATTCTTTGCATGATACATCAAGAGGTCGGAATTCTAGAGCTCAATATTTTGACCCCTACGCATGCATTTGCAGGATATAAGACGTATGTTTTATATGGGTTTCGTTTCTTGTTAAGGCATCTGGCCAAAGTCAAGAAATTGAGTAGAGAGCATAACTTTAACGCAACTTTGGCGGTTCGTCATATCAAACTAACATGTTTTTATATAAAATATTATCGATATAAACATTTTATTCAGAAATTCGATCGATTCATTCGATTCGTTAAAAATTCATCGATGAAACATCGATGATTCACGTGATTCAGATTTCTTATGTAAAACAAGCTCTGGCTAGGCACTGATCAACTGAGCAGAGCCCAATCATTTGCGACACATGTGCGCGGAGAAAATGATGTCGGCTTATCATCAGCCAACTATGGTAAAGAATGTCTGGTACATTTAAAAGTTCCATAAAAAAGTATGGGAAGTTATGGAAACTCGTCGCAAACTTTTGCCGTAATTAAAACAGTGCAAACAAGAAGCTTATTCCTGTGCCGAGGACGACCTCCCTGGTTCAGTTCAACGCCAGGCACTGGAGCGTGCAATTCATGGCAACTTACAGTTGTAGTAATGAATACACGGAAAAGATAATGAACACTAAACGGCAAATAATGAACTTGCACAGGCTTAATTGACAAACAAAGATTGTCAAAAGAGAAAATTGGAATTAGGATTAAACATCAAGGTTAATTATGGCCAGCACATGTCTTGCGCGCATTGCGTTTATGAAGCTGCTATCCTCTTTATAGCGAGTCTGTGAAAGTCTCCCTCAGGGTTGTAATTATCCTAATACAAGTCTCGTGTGCATTAGAACTAAGTTGTTAAGCTTATACAAGAACAATCCTATATGTTTTAATGGAGGCCATACAAGACGCTTAACATTCGTCAATTGAAATAAATTGGTTAAGCTTCTTAAGTCCTGGCAGGAAGATTGTGTTCTCATGTCGTCATGTTCTCATGTCGTCGTGTTCTCACCGTCGTGTTCTCATGTCGTCTTAGCAACGGCGAACAATTATATGAGGTAAGTAATGAGTAACTTCAATAAACATATCGACCTCGAACGCTGATGCGTTATAATTAATACGATTATTCGATCAACATCTTAACCGCTAATACAAGCATGTTCTCCCAATGGCAATGTGAGGTCAATTCTAGTTATTTGGAATCAACGTTAAACAAAAACAGACATAGCTGTTCATTAAACTATCTCGTACAGAAGCAAGAGTGTAATATTCGAGAGATTTCTTTCTAGGCATGTATTGCTACATCTCATTTGCACATAACCTCAAGGAAACACGTTTTATTCCGTAAAAAATAAAAATTTAATAAGAGACGACGCCGTGCCATGAGACTTGATGGCTGAGATGCTCACATGAACGAATATTACCCCACAAGAAAGTCAAAGGAAGTGCTCCGGTGACCAGGTTTATGCGCCGGCTGCTTCACTTGTGAATGGTAACCGCACTCACGTCACATAAAATGGCTAAGTAACACCTGTACTCGCATCTCAAAACTCACTTTTAACGCGAGTATGTGTGCAAAATTCGGGTAAGAAATTTTGTCTCATATGCTCCCATTGAGCCGAAAATTGAAAAGAAAACGTCCGATGGAACGTGAGGCTCGAACATGACCATCCACACATGAGCTTTAATTGACTCTGATTGCACCCATTGAGAAGACCCAGTTAAAATTATCACAATTAACTAATTGAGTTGTCTGCAAAATGTAATTAGGTTCACAGTTGAATTATTTCTAATAATCTTACAAATATTTATATGTATTACAAAATTTGTGAGTGCGTATAGGTTTGTGGGAAGTTTTGAAGGAACAATTAGGGCGTATGGAACAATTACAGTATACAAGGGCGGGCGCTGCTCGGGTTCGTATCCAGGATTATCGTTATATTCCCGCACATGAAATTTCATTCTTGATGGGAGAATAGGAAAGAATCGGAGGAAAGGGAGAAAAGGATAGGATCAAAGATTGAAATTTGATTTTGCAATTGTTAATTAAATATTTCAGTTAAAAGACATAAATAGTTCTTTCCGTGCTCTGAAGCGAAAGTAACTGAAGCGAGTCTGAAGCGAGTCTCTATTAAGTAAACTATGGTTTTAAAGAGATTTTTATGCAATTAAAATGCATAAGCATAAGTATTGCCTTTAACAGGATTAGGGATTAGGATTAACGGAATGAATGAGATTGCGATTCCAGCGTCGGGCTAACCAGCGAGCATAGTTCGCAATTTTTTCAAGCCAACATTTGGCAGGACATATCGATTCCCGAAGCGTATTTTTCATTTCATATTGATTTTTTTGTGTTTTTTTCTCGTTGACAGAACAATTTCTTCACAGTGACATTCTGAATCCTGTTTACTGAGCATCGATTTAGCATTTTTACGCAAGTGGAGGCAAAGTCGCTTAACACGATTTGGGCACCACATTTGTGACATCAACCGTTGCATGTGAAGGCAGCACAAAACGTTTGTTACTCAGGTTCAAATACGGAGCGGAAAACGATTGACTGTGAAAATCTAACCCTGACAACTTGAGACGAAAATTTTGAAGAGCGAACCCTTGAAAACCAAATCTTGAGACGGAAACGTTTGAGGAAATTGGTCAACATTTTCGAGCACACAATGCTGGGGTCGTCGTGCGTCTGGCAGCACCTGCTACTGACGGCAGCGTTGGCGGGGGTGTGGGGCGCTGGGGCCATGGAGGCCGCGGGGCCCATCGCTCCCTGTGAGGTAAGCCTTCACACTTGCACTTAAAATATAATAACTGAGGACATTACTTGAAAATAAAGCTAATTTTGGGATTCTGATGGAAGTAATCAATTTATTTCTATACCTGAATGCTTGAAAAAGTTGCATTTATAAGTTAAAAAATATAACTCAGTACTCACTGCAGTGAGTGACAGAGAGCGCATTTTCTCGTCGACGAAAAAATGAAGTCACGGATGGACAGACAGACATGACGAGCATAATAGCGCCTTTTTTCCATAAATGAGAAAATGCGCAAAAAATTACTGAAATAAGCACTTTTCAAAGCGAGTAATGAAGCCATATTACAGATTTAGGACTTTGTAGCAATTTTTCAACGGTACAATTCACTGAAGTGTAATATATTTCACGTGAATCCTTGAAGAGACCCATACCACAGAATATGGTGGCATGCATTGTACTGTATAGAGAACATTCTACCTAACACGTAGCCTCGTACAATATTATTGCAAACAAATTCATTATTTTTGCAAGAAATTATGCATCACTAATTGATTGTATATATATTGTATTTGAGTTATATATCGGCGGAAAAAACTTATTTTCATTTGAATAAATGTTAGAGATTGATAAAATATATATTTGATTCCGTAGGATTTTTCATAATCACCCACAACAATTCACTCGTCCCCGAACCGAAATCATTGACGTTGAGTTTTTGTTGGATCTTGATCCAATAATTGATCGCTCGTCGATCATCGTCGCGACAGTGTTGACGGACAGGGCAGGTGCATCAATCATGCCTAGCACTGACCAGTCCGCTAAGATCTGACAAAAGCAGGGATCAGTGCTGTGTCGAGTCAGGGAATAACGAGAAATAATGGAAATTGATGCGCAATTCTTCACTGAGATAGCGTGAAAATTGACAATAATGAACCGGAATACCATGCATAATACTTAACAATTAATTTAACTAATTAATGTAAAAATAATGAGTAAAAATAACGTAATGCGAACTTATTACATTATTAATGTAAAATAATGTAATAAGCTCAGTAACTTCACTCCATTTCACCCAGGTTGTATCCCATCACTTCACCTCACTAGCGATACGACACAACACGAACAAACTAATCGCAGGAAGTTCATCAAATCTTTACCCCACTAAAATATCCCGTAAAACATAGCAAATATTTTCGTTTGCTAAAACGGCATTAAAATTAAATGAAAGTAAAACAGAAACCCGAAAATCGTCTAGATGCGCCGCTAACAAAGTCTCCCCCTGACCGCAGGAGGACGGCGCGCGGGTGGCCGACCGCGCCTCCTGCACCCGCTTCCACTTGTGTCGTCTTGCAGACAACGTCTTCGTTACAGACCTCATGGTCTGTCCTGACGACATGGTCTACGACATGGTCTCCAGCGCATGTGAGTAGGTCTGAGTCATGGTCTGTCCTGAAGACATGGCCTACGACATGGTCTCCAGCGCATGTGAGTAGGTCTACAGATCCTTTGAGCAAGTCTATATAATTGGCCATGTCCTTCTTTCATGTTTTGCTCTGGTTACTTTGAAGACTGAAAAAAATGAGACATTATTACTGAACTTTTCGTAGAATTCTTTTCATTAATATAACAGAAATTGTGAAATTCTGCAGGCGTGGAGTCGGTGAGCGGATACCTGCAGGACCCGGCCAGCTGCAACACGGTAAGGCTGCCACCGAATTACCAGCAATTCGGAGCTAACATAATTACTGGTGGAGCATCGGCGCCCGTAGGGAGGAATGCTAAGTTAGAAATTTTCAGCCAAATGTCACGTTTCGGTAAAATGTGAGGAATACTGGGCTAAAATTTCAGGCAAAGACGAACATTGGTCAAGTACAAACCGACTTTTATGTCAGGCAGAGTTGTCGATGATAGAAAATAGAGCGATATAGATGATAGAACGGCAAAACTGAAATAATCGCAATACGGCAATTTTAGCCGAGATTACGATGATCGCAAATACCATAAACAAAAATTTAATCAACATATTCACTATATTACGAAAATTACGAACACAACCATAGTCGTAAATACCATGAGTATTTGGAATTCTAAACTACCGTAAAAAAGCACAACAATACTGAAAACGACGTGACTGAAGAGGTGGAGTTCATATCATCAGGTCACCAAACAATAAGTGCAGGAGAACCGACTTCAACGTGACTGTCCAGCACTCGTGAAAGAGGAGCAAAATTTGCGCTCATGTGGCATTGACGAAATTTGAAGAGTGCCATTTAAGTGTATCATTATTATTCCATAATCAATCAAAAGTTCAACTTTTCTCCACGCCATACTAAGAGTTGCATTGTAGCGGCTGCACTGAAAACCGGACGCTATCTCGGCACAATGGCTTGCTGCGCGATGAATGTCTGCAATACTGGCAACGGTACACGGTTTCAAACAATTTATTCAGCCATTCAAACGATCAAACAATAATTGGTGATGATCTATTTGATATATAGGGAGGAAGCAAATTGTATTTTATTCATGTGATTTGAATTTTTTAATCCTAAATTACCAAAACCTGCCTAGAATTCAATAAAAGACATTACGTTAGATCAAAACTTTCTCTGTTGTAAAATTATTCCATGTGCTGATGATGGAAGCGCGTGATTGTAATGTAACTTGAGCTTGGAGGCTTCGTAGTAAACCGATGCTCTATAGCTTCTTCAATTAATACCTTTATAAGTCGCACATACAAAGAGTTTTCATTTGTAATAACCAATAGTCAAAAGTATTTACTCAAGTACAGTGTATCAAAATGAGTATAATTAGGCGGCTACAAAGCAAGAAATCTGCAATGCGAGTTAACTTAATGCGGGCAGTTCTACGGCTGCCACCGGACGAAGGAGCGCAGTGAAGGGTTCGTACGTCACCACTACGCGTGCGCGGGACAGCTGCGCTTCCATCCCGGCCTCAGGTGCGTTCATACAGCTTCCTGCTGGGCCCTATAGGCCTAGGTAGGAATAATATCTGTTTATATCTCTAATGAAATATGTTTAATTTTGCGCTTAGAATTTTTCATTTTGGTTGAATTGAGTCGAATTTTCAAAATGCATAAAATTATTGTCTGCATGTATTCTCTCGCGGAATTCTAGAGTTAACGCGGTACACTGGCAATATGTGAATTTAAGCCATCGCATTATTTGCAAATAATTATGAGCCTGTTACATGATAACAACAGACTTAAGGTGCCTCTCAATGCCAGGATTGGACTAAAAAACTCGAGATATAGGTACTATAATTCATGTATCATTAAAGAAGACATCGAATTGCGTTCTAATTGTCTCTTCCGAAGCGATTATTAGACGTTCTGGAGTGCCAATAAGTAATTGGTTTGAGGACTTGTTGAGGTTTTTTACCCTAGAAACAGACAGTAATCACACATATTAAAGCCTGACTAACCTTTAGCTGGCGGCTCCAGAAGGGTGCACCACTTGACCTGCGTAATGCATGGGTTGGAGCATTGCTATGGGGCTACCGGAATGGCTCTGAGTGGCACTCCGACGACGCAAGGGTAGGCATTAGTAATTTACATGTGGCGCGCAAACACCGCAGAATTGAATACAGGAATCGGACCGGTGCAGGGTTCACGGAAGACCTCGATTCTGATGAGAAACGCTGCGCGAAAACCGATCGAGCGAACGGATGTCAGCGATGAAAGCCGGTGTTCAAACTAACATTCTAATTAGTGAGAGATACAACTGGAAAATGTGAGAATAAAATTTAATGTAGGATCGAGTGCTGTTAGAAATTTTGAATATTCCCGGAATAGTTGCCACATTATTTCTCGTTGTGTCGGCGTACAGAAAAGAATTTGCATATAGCGTGCAACGGAGTACATAGTTATTGCCTATAGCACGACCTTTATAGAGTCCCAATATTCTTAGATATTGACTACAGCGTATGAAAGAGAAGAGTTTATTTTTGCAGCTTGTGTTAACAAGAATCAAACAGAACAGCACTCTGCATATACGTATTCTATAACCTGCTGTCCACGCCAGGAAGCACAGTACGTCGCCGAGACATCAAAGGGTAGTTGAAACAGACTTGGGAATTGCTCAAGCGTGTTCGCTCTCTTGAATACTGGTAAATAAATTGACTGACTTCGTACGTTAATAATTCTTTGAATATACACACGCCAACGTAAATCACTATCAGAACTCCCACAAAATTATTCGGGGACATACAATCGCAAAGGAGAAACTTCTTCTAGTCATATCATAATTTGTTCGTTTATAGTTGTGTATAATATCTATAAATTATATTTACGAATAGTATATATAGTCAGTATAGTCGTGCTATCGTGATTAGAGTGGAACAAATAGTATCCTAAATGGACTCATAATAGTTTTGTTCTAGAGTTGACTTGCTGTAAACTTGATCAGTGTTTCTGTTTATAAAAGATGCAAGATTGCAAGATACAAAAGTTATGAAGCATCACTGCATCGCTGGCGTTGACGGCAGCTAAAGCATGAAATATCGTCCTCGATATTGCAGACTAAATACCGGGAAACTAAGTCAGGATATTAGCAGCTGCATTAGCACGCGTCCAACTCTCATTTCAACTCAGAATAGTCGGGTGTTTTAATTATAGAAGGCAGATGAAAGACTGACAATGGCACGGGCTAAGCCAGCAGTAATTTTCCACAAAAGGCTCACCAGAACGTGAGATTGGCGTTGTCATGGCGACCACACAAAGCGGACATATTGAGCTCATCAGACCACACATCAAAACACAGCGTGTACTGCCAGCCACTGTGTGGCGGTACACAATATAACACAGCGCCACTCCGCAGCCACTTCATGGCGGAACACAGTATAATACAGCGGTTGAAGACGACTCCTCAGTTCCTCGTCCGTGGGGAGCTGCATTATCATATCACATCATAATAAGTTAACTCCTGTGCCATTATGAAACGTGAAGAAGTTCACGATCTCTTTGTGTCGAAACAGGTTCTGCACCTTCAAGACCAGGGTTCCCGACGACATGTGTAACAGCCCAAGCTCAGAACAGACCATCATCGGCACTGATAAAGTCGCTCGTCGAGAGCACTCCGTCGAGATGAAAATGGCCAGAACTGCCACTATTGATGACGCAGTTACTGACATTCCCGCTGTAAAAGCCTCATATTCTGCCTACAAAAATACGCCAGGTAGTAAATACGTGGAACTCGTAACAAGAGACCACGACATCCATGGCAAACTCTCAGAAGGCGGCATGCCATCCACCGGTGAGTCTCAAGTGCGGAGCGAACGACGAACGTAAATCTTACACAAAAATTTGCTAAGGCGTAAAATTGAAATCTCCGTATGACAAAAGTGATAAAATGCTCGCGTTTCGAGACAAACGAATTTATAATTATTTTTTTTTTCAACCCAATTTAAAAGTTAGCATTAAGGTAAAGCATAATAAATTTAGGAAATGAATTATATGAAAGTCTCGGACAATGCCCGATTACCGTTGGTTTCCATTCTAAAAAAGATACGACGTCTCCATTCTGAATTCAGCTTTCCAATGAATAAGCCACTGTAATATTCTCACCAAAATATTTTTTCCATGAAAAGATTGATTCCTATTCTTATTCATAAATATTATATTTCCCTCAGCGGAAGCAATAACGAGCGACGAGACGCTCACCTCCGAAGCTGAGATCAGCAAAATCACAGAGGCGATCAGCCATCAGCTGCTTGGGGACACACGAGACGATAAGGAGACCACTGACCACTCCTACATGACCACCACTGTCAGCAAGAGCGTATCTCAAGCACCTGATGAGGGAGGTCACCAAGTCGGGACAGACATCAACACCTCGGCAACGTACGGCCTAGCAGGAGACACCCCGGCACGAGATGAGAACTCGTCTCCCTACGACCTCATGAGGAGCTCCGAGACGCCGCCGCATGACAACGGAAAAGACGCTGAAGAAGAATATTTTAAGAAAAGAATTTCAATGAAATCCAAACTCATTGATATGGTGCCGGTCATCCGTCCAGGCCAACTTAGTGCGACGTCTGGAAGCCAATCTCCCTACAACTGGGAGGCTGGCGGTGACTTCTCCTCGTACGACATGGATGCAGTCAACAACCAGTCGCCCTTCAGTATGGGTGTTATAACAGAATGATGAATGAGGTGCTACAGTGGTTGGCAAAATGCAACTAACATTTATTGTGGCAAATTTTCGATGTCACCTTTCAGCATCCTAAAAGATAGCATCGTGTATGTACAAAGGCGACGACCTTATCGTGAAGTATGGAATTATATATTATAACTAAAGAGCAGGCGTATGAAATCAATAAGCTGCAGGTATAATAATCCACTTTAAGCCGAGCCTGCTTAGCGCATTGACGGTTGATATCAAACTTATAATTGGCACTTCTTCTGCAGTAGCAACTTTTCTCCTCACAATTTTCGCAGCATTTAATCCAGGGTCTCTTCTTCACGTCTTGCTAGGAAAGGACTTGAAAATCAATATATTATAGTCACGGGGCTTCATCATCTTCATTATACTTCGCGATTCCTCTTTAACCTTAACATTTGTTTGAATCTATTCCTCATTAATACATTAATTACATGATACTACTCGTAGTTACCATTTAATTTACAACGCGAAATTTAGAAAATTATTCATTACAAATATTTTGGAATAACATCTGTCTGTTTACAATATTTTATTTTAATTCCAGTAATATATAAATTGATATCACACACGCCCATTCTGTAGATTAGAGCAAATTTGTGGGGTCAGAGAAAGTAAAATAAGCCCACATGCTACTGAAAGAGGTTGAAAATGCGACCCGGGCTGATAACAGGCAATTTGTACGCGCGATGAGCTCGTACGGTACGGGTTAGGCGTGATCATTACCTGACATTCCGTATAACTATAAATAATCTAATAATAAAATCTAATATTAATCTAATCTCATAACAATCTTATTCAAATGCATGAAAAGACAAAAGACTTCACAGGAAAATTATTCTGCCAGCCACACAACCCCGCATGCCTTTAAACGTAACTGCCAAGTTGTGTTGATAGCCAAATGTCATCGAATCTGCCCAACTGCTCATTGTTATTCAAGGGTTTACCTTGTTAATCCTTAATCCGCATATTCGGAATGTCTCGCTTTGTCTCGTATCATAATGGATTACTTCGTTTTGTCTCGAATCATTAAGGTATATCTCGTTTAAATCAATTTACCTTGAATTTTTCCTAGCATATGGAGGACAAATTTTGAATTTCGTGACATTTGTTGCGTTGTGCCGATGCCCACGGAAAGTTTGGAAAAAACGTTTTCTAGATGCACAGATTAATGATATTATACTGCTAATGAAAATATTAAAAAACTTTCAGTGTAACCTCATGATATGAGAAATGCAGCTGTGCTCAGATTGTAAACCTCGTCCCACTGCGCGACAATAAACTAAGGGCCCTTTTGTTTTCTTGACCAGAAAATAAAGTGAGACACGTTTACAGTTTCTATTATCCCTATATTGTCCTACCACTGCCCGGAGCGCACGAAGGCATCACGTCGTGAATGAACAAAAAGGGTTCAGGATAACGACAGTCAGGCTCCAAAACCTAGGTCCATGACCGTAATTCTTGTTCACATGAGCATCTAATAATAATAAATATTAGCTTCAGTAGGATCTGTTGTAAGCTCTCACCGAAATGGCACCTTCCATGCGATTGTTCAGTTTGCGTCTCAGTTAACTTTTGATATTTTAGCCGCGAATGTACGATTGACAATGGATTGATATGAATGGTAGAGTATCACTATTAATGGTAGAGCATCACAATTAATGGTATAGAGCATCACATTTAATGGTACAGCATCACAATTAATGGTAGAGAATAACAATTAATGGTAGAGCATTACAATTGATGCTACAGCATCACAATTAATGCTACAGCATCACAATTAATGCAAGAGCATCCCAATTAATGGTAGAGCATCAAAATTAACATGCTTCGCGTTAATAATACTCCTTAAACTCAGCCAGATCTTGATCACTGCACATAAATTGCTTTAACAATAACCGTACGCGACACAGTTACTGGCGGGGACAAGAACGTCAAGCGGCCATAAAAAATGTGGATGGCCCTCACGGCCGTGCCTGGAGGCTATTAAAGCGGGAGGAGAACAGCTCATAAAGTCCCATAGCATCATCACCAGGTCCCTGACCCATCTTTCCATGCAATTCCTACACGCGATCAGGCTTATGGGCCATCACTTCACACAATTGTTATACGCGATCAGGCTTATGGGCCATCACTCCATACAATTGTTATACGCGATCAGGCCTATGGGCCATCACTTCACACAATTGTTGTGCGTTATCAGGCCTATGGGCCATCACTTCACGCAATTGTTATACGCGATCACTTCATACAATTGTTATATGCGATCGGACCTATGGGTCATCACTTCATACAATTGTTATACGCGATCACTCCATACAATTGTTATACGCAATCAGGCTTATGGGCCATCACTTCACACAATTGTTATACGCGATCAGGCTTATGGCTCATCATTTCACACAATTATTATAAGAGATCACTTTACACAATTGTTATACGCGAACACTTCACACAATTGTTAAACGCGATCACGAATTGGGGAGACGTAAGAAATTTAGAAAACCTAATCATCACGATGCGAAGATCTAAATACCATTATGTGTGTCCAACACTGGTAGAGTGCACGCGTTATATTTCTAGCTACTTTACGATACATCGTCATCAGAAACATTTTTAATTCTTTAAGAAGAGTCAGTTTAATGCACTACAACTTGTGATGGTGAGGTACATCACTCCTGGTACGTGGTCATACATCCTCATTCAGTGGACCTCAGCCCGCAACACACTTACTGTCCGAATATATACATTATCAGTCATAGGATTATTTGCAAGTACGACGTCATTAGCCCATATTAGGGGTGCTTCAGCCTTCCTAAAATATTCTTAAGCCCCCTAAATAATTGTAGGCTCATTTATAAAAATTTATTCTAATCTTTAAAAAAATCACTGCAAGTTCATTATAATGAGGCCTAAATATGGTTTTAAATAAATTGTAAAACAACAGTCATTTTTGATATGAATATCGTCCTTAAAACCAGTGGGGATCAGCCCTCCTCTTTTCACTTAAATTCTAGTGGTGCTCTGGCTTGAAAGTGTTGGCGAACAATATTTGTTCACTATTTAAAGGGCTACGTTATTTAAGCAGTGAAATTACACAAATCCTTCAATAAGCATACGAGTTATTCATGTGTATGTGTATCCCAGGCATGAAGCACCGAACATCGACGCTGCCGTCCATAGCACCATTTAAAGTGGTCGAGGGCTTCGTCTCGGCCACGGCCTCTGCGACTCAATTCGTCGGAAGTTTGACTTCAAACTTCGATCCGAGCCGTGACCTTGAAAGCCAGCCAACTGCTGAGCCAGCCGTCAGTCAACAAGTGGTCGACAGAGCAGACCTGAGCTCAGCTGGACTCGGAGGGCAAATCACTGCAAGCCTTGTGTGCGCCATGCAGGCTGTTGACCTCAGTTCTATATATGTAAGGCGTCAAACACTCCTCATGGCATGGAGTTATCTAAGAATTATTTTTGTTCTAGTATCAGAGTGAAAGAGTGCTGGTCTTTTGGTGACATATAAGCTGGCTGGGCGATCATTGAGTCTTCACGTTTGGCGAATGTTTCGCCTTCGTGTACACGGAAGAATCGGGTGTGTTTGGGCTCCTAGTACAAATTGGAATCCGAACTATTTATTAGATCAAAATAAAAAGCACCGCGAAACACGTTGAATACAGAGCCAGGTTTGCCCACTCAATAGCCATAGGTCACTGTGCTTAACTACGTGAATAACAGTGTGGGAGAGTAAAAATGCTATGGCTTTAACTAATAGATTTGGCGCGCAGTTGAGGAGAGATGCAAGTCTCGTGCGCTATGCAGACCAGAGGAACGTTTAACAAGAAAATATCGGTAGCCAGAGGCAGCAGCCCAAAATGCTGTGATGGCAACAGCCGCACTCGACAGGTAGAGCTGCCAGACGCCACCACTTAACAACACTCAACGCAACGCAAAACTATGAAACAGTTTCCCAATGAACAACCACAAGAACGGAAATGTAAACAAACCACCTGGTCGCAATATAAACAATTGTAAACAAAGTTGGAAGTGTGCAGGTGAAGGCAGGCGTGCATGACGTCACAGATGCTGGGGCCGACATTATCGAGCGGCCAGGGGAAGCAGAGCTGCAGGAGGAGCCGCTGCAATGATTTCGGCTTACCGAGTGCAAGCCAGGCAGCGGGCCAAGAAATCCTCGACAACTTTGGCCGTTTCAATCCAGATAAAGCTACACGTGACGCCGAAACTAACTCATGCTGGCGAAACTTAATGACAGTAATGACATGTTAAATGACGAGGGAATCTATATTGCCCGTTGCAATAAACAAGATAGAAGGCAAGCTGTAGTACATACTCTACAGGCTACTAATACAATTTTGAACCTGATGTATTTCAGGCACTTGAATAGATTATTCGCCAGACTCACAATTATTCACTTGAACAGAATCAAAAGCCGCCACAGAACAGCTTTCAACGAAACCTCAAACTATGCTAACAATTTTTCAGCAATTTTCCACTAGACTACATTTGGAAAAACTTAGTATATACAGTGTAAACAACTATACATAAATATATTGTCGTTCAGTGTGGCTAAGCGTGTGTGATGAACATAACCGCGCGGTCTGGAGTGCGTGCTGGAACCCATTACCTGTCGCGACCTTGGCACGCACGACACGCACCTCTCGTGGACCTTGAGCGTGACACACTTGTGTACCTCCCCGGACCCACCTACCTTTAAGTGCGTACCCTTGACTCAACCCTGAGCAGGGTTTTAACCTCGAATGGTTCAATTACCCACGCGAGGGTTCAGGTCGTTCAGTTCTCGAGTAAAGTTCACTCGCCATGAATATTGCGGGACCGTCGCTCGTCGGCCGGTCGCCCGAGGCGGTAAGTCTGTCATTTTAATGCGGCGTTATTGCGACCTGCGCCGGGAATATGCAACAGCCCCCGGCACAACACAAGGACTAGGTAGCTATAATTTGGAGGAAACTGACAGAGGTATTATCAGTTGGAAAATATAAATAAATTTATAATTAGTAGGTAGTTGATAAATATATTAATGATTGAAAGAAGTTAAGGAGGCATTGTCAGGTTGAAAAAAATAAATAAATGTATTATTAATTGGAAGTTAATAAGATCTTACCAGTTACAAGAAATATCAAGAAATTTTATCAGTTGGAAGAAGTTGCGAGAGCTACAATTCAACTGGAAGAAGTATAAATGAGATTTTACCAGTGAAAAGAAGGTAAAATAGTAAGTATTATTTGGAATATGATAATCGAAGTATTATCAGTAGGAAGAACTTACAGACGTCATACGAACAGTTAAAACAAGTTAGAAAAGTTTCTATTCATCGCAAGAAGTTAAAACAAATACTGGTAGTTGGAAGAGGTTCAAGAAGATATTATAGCATTTGGGAGAAAGCATAGGAGGAATGATCAACTGAAGAAATATTATTAGTTGGGTGAGGTATTCTAAGTTATAAGAAATTCGATGAACCAGTTTTAAATGAAATAACTTGAAGGAAATTTTACTAGTCTTAGGACCAGATTGAATTATTGCTCATTGCACAACTTTAATTTAAGTGTTGTGGGTTAACGAAATTGGTCTAATTAGTATGGTTCCACGAGGTTAATTGAAGGATTATAGTCGCATGAGGTCAATTTAAGTGTTGTCGTCGCCGCTCTTAAAAGAAGCCTACAGCGGCCAACTTGAGCTTGATCAAGTCCACACGAGCACACATGGCGGCCTAACTTGAGTACAGATGGGTCACCACACAGAATATACACTCACCACACAGGCTGGTGACGGCACAGATGGGTCACCACACAGGATATGCACTCACCACACAGGCTGGTGATGGCACAGATGGGTTGCCACACAGAATATACACTCACCACACAGGCTGGTGATGGCACAGATGAGTCACCACACAGAATATACACTCACCACACAGGCTGGTGATGGAGCAGCTTTCTTCGTGCACGAACTTGCGTGTCACGGCCTCCTCCATGATTTGTTTTACCTGCGAAAAAGTTTTCCACGAATTATTTTTGATTTGTAACGGAATACACTTTAAGAAACAGATTGCCGTTCATCCGAAAAAATTCTCAATTCCAGCAACACACTCCAACGAAAATTATTTGTTTAATATATCAATGTTAATATAATACATATGATATTAAAATTATACGATACGAAATATTGCGTGAAAGTTTTGGTTTGCTCCATGATGTTGTTCAATATGAATTTTGATTCCAACACGAAGTTTTAAATTGCAAGCCAAGACCAGCTTCATGGAGAACAAACATGGAACTAATTTGCATATAATGGGACCTATGCCTTTAATATTGATATTGAAATTACTTTCAAAATTGTTAGTAATTTTGCAATTCTCTCCAAGAACTTGAAATTTCTTCCATGATTAACGGTATTAGGAACGAGTAAGATACTCCAATTGTTTTTATTCACTATTAGGAACATCAGCGGCGAATAAATCGAACGAGTTTCAAGTCTGTGTTATGAATGAGAATGTATGCGTCGTGATCTTGGTAGTTGTGACGAATAGGGCCATCCAAAAAATGATCGCCCATGTTTACGTCGGTCAATTTTCTACAAAATAATTCTCAGTGTGGAATCATCCACTTTTATTAGATGATTATTAGTTAAAGCTCACATTTTAACCCAACTTATCAACGGGTATTAGTTTTAAAATTATTGAAATCACAATTGCAGTCTCTAATTTCAATTGTAGATCTTAATTTGATGCAATTAAGCCAATATCACATCAGTTCATTTACTAAATACATCCATTGAGAAGTGACATGAGCGTTTAGAATTCATATCAAACTCAATTTCTTTATCAACAAATACAGCGACGGTGCAAAGATTTGACCGGAGCCTCGCCAGCGCTCGTCTGCCGTACAGGCGCCGCCCGTCGTCCTGCCGTCTGCTGCTGCATCGATCTGTGCTGTGATGCATGATAGTGTGCAGCATTGATGCTGTGATGCATGATAGCGTGCAGCATAGATGCTGTGATGCTTGATAGTGTGCAGCATTGATGCTGTGATGCATGATAGCGTGCAGCATTGATGCTGTGATGCTTGATAGTGTGCAGCATTGATGCTGTGATGCATGATAGCGTGCAGCATTGATGCTGGGTGCTGTGATACATGATAGCATGCAGCATTGATGCTGTGGTGCTGTGATACATGATAGCATGCAGCATTGATGCTGTGGTGCTGTGATACATGATAGCATGCAGCATTGATACTGTGGTGCTGTGATACATGATATCATGTACTATAGGCCTTCAAAATACTGGGCGTACTTCAAAGTAAAGTGCGCATCTTCCGGATGTTCGACCGTCCTACACATTATGGCAACATTGCCGATATTGCTCGAGTCGGCCGTTCAATGAAAACAATAAAAATTAAAAACAAACAACTGGAAATTCTTGTAACAATAAATAGAGATTATTCTTTGCACTCCTGAGTGAGAGAAGAGCGTGCTCCATGAGAAGAGCGTGCTCCATGAGAAGAGCGTGCTCCATGAGGAGAAGCTAGTACTCCATGAGAAGATAGTGGCCCCAAAACAAGGAACAACACAGCCTGCGATAACAGCCGTGGCTCCAAAACAAGGAACAACACAGCCTGCGATAACAGCCGTGGCCCCAAAACAAGGAACAGCACAGCCTGCGATAACAGCCGTGGCCCCAAAGATAACGATATCGACCGTATCTCTGTTATCTGCCTGGCAGGTTCGAGGTGAGCTACAGAAAGAAGTTTTTCCCGAAGAAATCCGCGGTCCCCAAAAAAAAACAATTTGGTCGAAGTCCTCGCTGAGAAACTAAAATCTTTCATTAGAGAAATCTCGACAAAACGAGTTGGCTTTGAAAAGTTCCATGAGCCGGAAGTTTTTAATTGATAAAATCTCTTGAAATGAACTCAACAATTTTTTTCGCCTGATTGTTCTTTCGACGCAGAGATAAACCCCACCTTGTTGAGAAATATTGTATCAGATCTTTGCCTAGTCTCAGCTATTAAAAATGAATTAAAAAACTGACTCTTCGCCTAAGAACGAAATATAGATTTAAATTAAATTTATAATGACCTTCAATGAGACCTATTCAAAGCGAGTGTTTAGTCGCCAGTTTCTGTCTGGAAAAACGGCAAATTTTCGACGCAGCAGAGCCATGCAGAGAGCTCTGCCGTCTCGGCCTAAGCCTGCGCTGCGGAGCTGCCGCACGAACTGCCGCTTACATCTTCCAGCCGCCTGCGGGGGAACATGCGAGGGAACATGCGAGGGTGGAATAGCATGAGGGAACATGAGGGTGGAATAGCATGAGGGTGGAATAGCATGAGGGAACATGAGGGTGGAATAGCATGAGGGTGGAATAGCATGAGGGAACATGAGGGTGGAATAGCATGAGGGTGGAATAGCACGAGGGAACATGAGGGTGGAATAGCATGAGGGTGGAATAGCATGAGGGAACATGAGGGTGGAATAGCATGAGGGTGGAATAGCATGAGGGAACATGAGGGTGGAATAGCATGAGGGTGGAATAGGATGAGGGAACATGAGGGTGGAATAGGATGAGGGAACATGAGGGTGGAATAGGATGAGGGAACATGAGGGAAGACTAGGATGAGGGAACATGGGGGAAGACTAGGATGAGGGAACATGAGGGTGGAATAGGATGAGGGAACATGAGGGAAGACTACGATGATATGACACGAGGTAGAGTCCAAGGGCCTGGCGCTCTAACATTCTTTAGGCCGCCGTCCATTTGATGATAATATCGACCAGGTATTTCAGGGAACTGCTGTATAAATTCATTCCAAAATAGAATGTGGAGATAGACAGAATTAGTTCGTTAAGGTTGTGGTTCCATTTGTGCGCATGCTTGCCGTTGATAAATCATATCTTCTGTAATTTTTTCATTTTTCCTGGAGTTCACCCCGCTATTAAAGCAATAATTGTCTAGGGCGTAAAATATTTTCCTAGTTATGGAATGCGGGTCACGAACGAAAACGATTCAATATTAGCGGCCGAAACGCTGTTGAGCGATCGCGATATTTTTCCAGAGCCTTGCCAATGACACACAGGTGACGGGGGCATATCTTGTACGTCTCTAGAGGGAAGAATACCGAATACCGTACATTCACCGAAATATATATAGACCACGTTTATGTCGTTAAGAAAAGAGGTTTTGCATCTAAACCAAAAACAAAAACATAAGTGAAGTTCAATTAAATTCCAAACTTAAGAGCAACATCTTCATGGTACACAACAATAAAGCAATTAGCACACGTTACAAGACTTGAACAAAGAATCTGTCCTTCAAACACAGTTAATAATAGGAACGAGCGCAGCTTTAAGCCGACAATTATTTCCGACCTGCAAGTGCACCAGGCTTTTGTGAAGGCCACACGCGCTCAAGGCCGTCGAATGTCAACAATAATCTTACCACGAGCCGCTGATGCGTTGCTTAAACAATGAAATCGAATTAAAAGAATAATGAATAAATATATAAATTAACAATAGATTAAGCTGTCCTGCTGGGGACGGGTGGTGAGGGTCTGGACTGTTTTGTTGTTCAGGGGTCCCGCTGGGGACGGGTGGTGAGGGTCTGGACTGTTTTGTTGTGCAGGGGTCCCGCTGGGGACGGGTGGTGAGGGTCGGGACTGTTTTGTTGCTGTCTCTTATACACATCTAGATGTGTATAAGAGACAGCGCTAGAGACGAGTGGTGAGGGTCTGGACTGTTTTGTTGTTCAGGGGACCCGCTGGGGACGGGTGGTGAGGGTCGGGACTGTTTTGTTGTTCAGGGGTCCAGCTGGGGACGAGTGGTGAGGGTCGGGACTGTTTTGTTGTGCAGGGGTCCCGCTAGAGACGAGTGGTGAGGGTCTGGACTGTTCTGTTGTTCAGGGTTCCTGCCCATGTAGTGATGAAAGGGAAATCGTTTGGCTTGGTTTGCTCTTAGAAAAATATGAAGAAAGAAAAATCCTTCGACAATCAAGGGCAGAATGAGAATGCAAACGATAGATACAAAATAAACGACGCTTACGGAAGCGAGACGACAGAGGATGTTGCCCTCAATTCGTGAGGGGAGACGGAAATTCTTCCGGCATGTCGTTGGTCAGATGAGGGCAACTTCTCCATGCTTGTAGTTAATATTGATAGACAGCTAGGGTTGCGTTGTCTAGTAAACATATCTAGCTAAGTTACGTTACTTCCTGCTTTAATTTCTAGATTCCTCCATATTTCTCTCCTGATCGAATTCTTGCAGATTTCAATGCGAATTTATTATCTTCTTGTTCTATTTAGTCTATGGAAGGCGGCGACAGGAAATATATGCCGGTAGCTCGTTCACGAACTTGGGAGAAACGAATGTTAATTCGAAGACGGAGAGCTCTTATTTTCCTATTTAAGTTTAACTCATGAATTTAAAAGCAAAAACAATACCACAAAAATTCACCATATCTTTATAAGAGAAAACGTTTCGGAGTCCAGCTCCATCGTCAGTTCACAAAACGATTCAATATTAGCAGACGTTTTTGCTTTTAAATTCCTGGTTAACTTGCGATTTAAGCAAACAAGTAATTTTAATAGTTTTTTTTACCGATGAAACTCATTTTTTTAACTCATTTTTTACCGATGAAAGCACTAGTTGCTAGGCCCTGAGATACGATCATTGCCTTGTTGGCATTTAACGCATCCCAATGTTAAATTTAGGTCAGTTCTCTTGTAACAACAAATACGAAAATCCATTGGGAAAATAAACGCAGGAATTTAATTAATGTTTAATTTGAATTGAATATGTCTATTAAACGTGCAATATTTAATGAACATGAAGTATTGCATTGCAAGTATGACACATGGTGCGTTGTCTGCGACCTAACCTCACACGAAAGATAGTCCCAGAATAGCAGCACACATTTTAAGAATTGCGCAGAGCTAATTGCGTGCTAATTATATTGGTCGGATCAAGACCCATAAACGCTCTCATGTGTAACGAACATAA